CCGCCCGGCCCCGCACTGCGGGCTTCTCCCCGCGCCGCTCTCGCTCCACATCTTGTTTCCTCCCACAATGCCTCGGGGCGGGGACGGGGGTGGGGAGGGGGAGCTGGAAAAGGTTGGGGGAGGGAGCTGTGGCCTTAGGAGGAGAGAAAAAGGAGAATGCAGACCCCTTCCAGCCAGGCCTGGCGTGGCCAGACCGAAAGGAATAAAGAGATTAGGCCTAGAAAGGAAAAGAGGGGCGTGGAGACCCCAGTTCCAAGGAGAAGCTGGGAAGAGTGGAGGGATGGAGAGTTCAGAACAGGGAGAAGGGGTCCAGCTTCCAACTTTGGAAAGAGGGGATAAAAGTCACTAGCTTCAGAGAAAAGGACACCATACCCCATTACCTCAGCTCGCCAAACTTGTGAGAACAGCCACTCCTGTCGGGAGGTAAAGGCATAACGTCCCAGCCCCCCAGGGTCCCCCACCCCCTCACATTCTGGAAAAATCCTTTCTAGCTCAGCCTTTGTTCCTGAATCTGAAGGCCATTTTCTTTACCCCCAGCTGGGGCCCTAACCAGTGTTTATCTTCAAAAGCAATAGGTAAAGCCTCAGCAAAATTGTGAGGCGAGAGGGCCTTCCTTGCAGTTTATGGCCCCGGGGTCTTTTTGGGATAGTGGTGAGAACCATTTCCTGTCACTTGTCACAGCTTGTCCATTTAGCCACCTGTCCAGTTAAACAGGACTGGAAGGGAATGAACAGAACTCTTGGAGTATGAACTGCGAGGAGTCTTAAAAATTACCCAATCCATAGCCCTCACGTACAGACAGAACCCCATCAGAAAAGTAGCCTTTGCCAGATCATCTCCCTTAGGCTAGACGGCTGGAGACTGAAAAGTGGTGTGTCCAGGCAGCAGCCCCTTCTGCTGACTAGAGAGACACCGTGTGCTATACATGTGTATGAATGAACGTTCATGTTGGAAGTGTGTCTGTCCTACACAATACTCCAACTCAGAAAAGGCCCAGAAATGTCTTTTTTCTTCCCAGACTGTTACAAAGGGTCTGCCTAAGCAGGGATGTGGTAAGAGTCTTCACTGAGAGCCAGGCATTTTGGCCACTCAGAGAGGATTAGGAAACTGTCTGGCATAGCTCCGAGCATGCCCATCTTTTTCCCTTCTCTGACATATATCAGGAACAAGAAGTCAGACATGCTCTGCCCTTGGCCTGCTCTCACTGGGAGTATCATAATTTAGTGCTCCTTTTGAAATTTGGAAAGTCATCCCCCTCAGGCTTCTGCTTTCTACAATTCAGTCTTTTTCCATCTTTAATCAGGGACTCCAGAGAAACAGGCAAGCCCTGGGAACCACCCTTCACAGACGGTATTCTGACGTCATCCTGTGTTAATGAATTGGGGTGGGGGGGCACATGTGGGGAGGGGCTAGAGGATGGTTTATCCACTCCAGGCTTTTACAGAGCAAGTCTTACCCTTTTTGGGGGGGCGGGGGAGGGAGTGCTTGAGACCTGGTCTCACTATGTACTCCTAACTGGCCTAGAACTCACTATGTAGATCATCCCAGGCTGGCCTTGATCTCAGAGAGATCCGCTTACCTCTGCCTCCAGAGTGCTGAGATTAAAAGTGTGTGCCACCATACCTGGCCCTTACAGATTTCTTGAAGAAAGAGCGCTAGTATCTTCTTTTCCCGACAGTCATTAGCGTCCAGCCCCTTCCATGATCTGAAGGTCAGTACTGCTGTGTATGGTTGTACAGAATGCTCGCTGCCCCAGGGCAGGTGGGAACTGAGACAGCCTGCACTCCCTCCCAGCGCCAAATGACCTTTTCCCAAGTGTGCACAATGGTGATTATGAGCTAGCAGTGTCCCTCCAAAGACTGTGTTCTCCCTTCTCACTTTCCCTGGAATGGAACAGGGAGAGAGTTCAGTAATTCTCAATGTGGATTATAAGTGGATGGAAATAGGAGATTAAAACTTTCAACTAACAAGACTTGCGACTTTTCAGAAATGTGGATATCAGTGACTGTATATTTGTGAGAGAGAGAGACAGAGACAGAAAGATGTAAAAAAAAAAATAGTATGAAGTTGGGGATGTGGCTCAGAGATATAGTGCATCCTAGCCTAGTACAGGTCAGGCCCTATGTTTGATCCCCAGAACCAAATAGTATGCTTACAGATAATAACTAACGTTTTTGGGAGTCCTCACTCTGCCAGGCTCTATTCTAAGTGTTTCAAATGCTGTGAATTATATTCTACACCATGAACTGTTTTTGAAGTAAATATATTTCTGTCCTCTCTTGGATGAGCAATTGTTGGCTTAAAGCAGTTCAGGAGCTTTCTTAAGAATGCCTAGCCTGTTTCCAGTGCCTACAGACTATCCATTAGACTATATTGCCATCTAATAGAGAGATAAAAGTATAAAGGAGGGACTAGGCTTTCTGTCTAAATCATACCAGCATTTCTTAAGCTTAATTGATTCCAAAGTCTTTTTAGCTTATCTGATTCCAAAGTCTTTTTTTAATCCAAATATTAACATCTCCAGGAACTACAATTTTTTTTTTTCGGTCTTTTTGAGACAGGGTCTCCCTGTAGCCCCAGCTGTCCTGGAACTCACTATGTAGACCAGGCTGGCCTTGAACTCACAGAGATCCACCTGCCTCTGCCTCCCAAGTGCTGGGATTAAAGGCATGCGCCACCATGCCCGGCTTTATTTATTATTTTTAAGACAAGAGTCTTACTATATGGCCCTGACTGGCCTGGAACTCACAAAGATCCACCTGACTCTGCCTCCTGAATGCTGGGACTAAAGTTATGAGAAAGCACACCCAGTCCAGGAACTGTTCTTCTTATGGGACACAGTTTAGGACTAAAGCCATGAGCCAGCACTCTCGACAGTATAGTCACAGCTTTTAAGCATGGTCTGGACCCTAGTTACTCTGTCCTGCTCATATCTCGCCACTCAGGCTCTTTTTTAAAAGATTTTTTTTTTTCGGTCTTTTCAAGATAGGGTCTCCCTGTAGCCCCAGCTGTCCTGAAACTCACTATGTAGACCAGGCTGGCCTTGAACTCACAGAGATCCACCTGCCTCTGCCTCCCGAGTGCTGGGATTAAAGGCATGTGCCACCATGCCTGGCTAAAACATTTATTTTTAATTATGTGCATGTGTGCATGTGTATTTATGTCATGTGTGCAAATTTCATAAGCTATTCAGCATCTCATCTTACCCTTTCATTTTCCTCATCTGTGTATTAGGAATAATAAATATCTGCTTCACAGAGTTAAGGAAAAAAATACGTGGAAACTTTTTAGCCCAGTGCCTGCTCCACATAGATGGTGAATAAACATTAGCCTCATCACCATCTCCCTCCCAGATTTTGTTTCCCTTCCCTGTAGTTCTTATCTCTATTCATGGCCCCATGCACAAGCCAGAAACCTGGGCGACCCCCCCTGGACTTGTGTCTCTCTCTTACTTCCCACATGTCCATCACTGGCAATCTCCTGTCTGTTTTTCCAACCATCTCATGAATTCCCCACATCCATCCCATCATTCATCACCTCTTCCAGTTGATTCCCTGCCTCAATTCTTGACTCCTGCTCTTCGGATCTACCTTGCAGAACTCCATTGAAAATGCAGATCACCTGGGAAACATCCCCCGTCCCTGCTAGGGCTAAAGACTTTTCCCATAACACCTACCCCACCACCTTCCTTCTGCCACACACCTGTTTGTTTGCCTGATCTCCACACTTCCCATCTCCTGCAGCTCTACTAACACCCTCAGCTGCCTGGGGTTTCCCACTCCCAAATCCCACCCCTTTGTTCAAGTGATTCCTTCACTTGTGACACTTGGCAGCTTTCTTTCCTGGTTTACTTGTTTGGGTGCCATCTACAAAGGCTTCCATGAATCACAGAGGATTCATCCCTGTCCTGTACTCTATAACTTCCAGGGCTCACCGCTAGCCAGTTTCTTTAATTTTTAAAAAATATTTTATTTATTATTTTTATTTTATGTGTATGAGTGTATTGTCTGCATGTATGTGAGTGCACCTGTGTCATGCAGTGCCTCAGAAGTCAGAAGAGGGCATCAGATTCCCCTGGAACTGGAGTTAAGGACAGTTCGTAGCTGCCATGTGGGTGCTGGGAATTGAACCCGGGTCCTCTGCAAGAGCAGTCAGCGCTCTTAACCGCTAAGCCATCTCTTCAGCCCCAGTTTCTTTAATTTTTAATTAAAAAAAAATGTTATGTGTTTTTCCTGCATGGATGTAAGTGTATTAGGTGTGTGCAATGCCCACAAAGGACAGAAGAGGACATTGGAGTCCCTGGAACTGTAGTTACAGGCAGTTGATAGCTGCCATATGGGTGCTGGGAACTGAACCTAGGTCCTCTGGAAGAGCAGCTAATGCTCTTAACTACTGAGCTATCTTTCTAACCCCCAATAACCTCTTTCTATTAAACTTGTCTGTTTAGGTTTGTCTGTAGTTCCTTGCTGACAGGGATGGCATGTTATTTTTGTGTGGGCTGAAGGACCTAGCACAGTTCCTGAAACAAGGGGGTTCCCCATCAATGGCTGAAAAGCCTGCCTGGGAGAACACTCCTCCTCCAGTTGTCCAGGCTCTTCTGTTTCTCTCCCCAGAATCAGCAATGCATGCTGTTTACACTGGGCCCCGCTGCCCAGAACAAATTGCTAGCTAAGATAAATCAC